AACATCATCAAACAAAGCACAAGCAGAACCTGGCCAATTGGTTGAATTCCATCATTGTGGATGTAACTTGGAAAAAATTCCTGAACTTTGTTCCATTTATCCTTTCCTCAGCTGAACCATGAGGGCTTGTTTTTAAAGCCGATGGCAGTGTTACAGGAGCTTTCGTGTTATTAAGTCAAGGTATAGTAGATCCAACAACAGAAGTTCAACTCAACAATTGAAAGATTAACACAATGAGGTAGTCAGACTACGAAAGCTCACAATAGGTTGTGACATTTTGCAAAATGGTGAAAAATAGGAAAGAGAATGATGACTATTATAGTGGTGAAGAATTAGAACAACAGAATAAGAATTAAGGCAATACATTTCCTGAACTGAATCAAGGTTCTTCACAGAAAACAAGGCTCTGCAACAATCAATAACAAGCTTCTTTAATGAAGGAGGACAACAAATCTTTACCAAATTACAACAAATAGATATTCTCAGTTCCCCAAATTCAGTAAGGAGTTAGTTCATTGATATCAAGCTCTCTGAACTTATTTCCGGTTACTTCATAAGCAAGTATTTTAGACATTTTGGAAGTTATGTCAATAATGGGTAGGGGTGTCAATTCGGGTCAGCGGATCGGGTTCGGGTCGAACCCGAAACTGACCCGGCACTGTTCGGGTCAACCTGAACCCGACCCGTTTTTAAAAACGGGTTAGGTTTCCTGACCCGAACCCGACCCGATTTGCAGCAATCGAAGCCTTAGAGAGAATTTTTCTATACTTACGTATTAAAAGATCACTCTTCTAACTCATTTAATTTGTTGATATAAAACATCTCAAGTTTTCCGAAAGCTATCTTGGTTGTTGAATTGATACCAACACCATGAATTTCTAGCCCAATATTTTTCACTTTTGTGGTACCTTGGATCTGAAGCTGTTTAAATTGAAATAATTGGTCTAAAGATGGAAGTTAAGTCCATGAACTTATCCCTTTGAATTTTAATTTGGTTAACTTATACGTGAGACTCAAACTCAAGACCTCTTTATTGAAAGTCAAACTTCCAACCAACAAACTAGTGGAAGTTATGTTTTAATCGAATTTTAATCTAATCCTAAAATAAAATAAAATTGACTTTAATTTTTGTTCTAATATTGAATATTATAAATGCTAAACTAATCACAAAATTATATTATATATTATTACCATTTATATTATAAATAATAATAATAATAATAATACTTTGTGTTTATATGGTTAATTTGTTTTACAACAGGTTAGAATATTGATCATATAAATAATTGCTAAATGACAATCATTTCTTCATTAAAAAATGGAGCTCTAAATAATAATAGAAACTTAGCAATGAAGAGAGATCTTAGTATAATTATTGATGACGTAGAAAAACATTTGAAAGATATAATAAACTTTTTATAAGAAATTTGTCCCATAGATATAATATATATATGGAATAGGAAAGATTCCTGGCTTTGATTGTTCAAATTCTTCCAGAACGTGTCTTTTTCATTAGTTGAACAAATTAGCTACAATTTTCCAATAAAAAAAACAAATTAGCTGCTCTTTCTACAACCATTTAGCTAAGGTTTAGCGACATTAATAACCTCCTTTCAATATCATTAATATTTTTAATTAACATAAATAAAGTTTTGCTGTATATTTAAATTGGAAATTTTCTTAAAGAATCATCCAAACTTTAATTTTAACAAACTTATAGCCTAACGGACCCTTTCGACGAGACGAGCCAATCTACACCAAAAGTGATATGACTCGAGTCTAAATGAGTCCAGATGGAATACTAGCTTGAAGCAAAATCTCTGAATCTCCTATGCTTATAATTGAATCGAGCGTCTCGATGAGACAAATACAACGAGTCTAAGATTGCAGAATCAATACGAGCTATCCGATGGAGTGTTTTAAATTTTGGCTACATCTATTGGGCATGTCTTTCTAAAAAATCTATAATAAGCCCCCACCCTCTGCATAAAGAGGAACTTACGAGCTTGAATTTTGACTTGAGATTCAAAAGAGCTCAGAGGCTCTAAAAATTGGTTTGCTTCACTTGAGCATAACCACTAGGTCACCATTTGACCACTAGCACAACATCACCTAATTGTTGCCATCAAATCACTGCCCAAGCATTGACATTAGACCACTAGCAAGCTGCCACGTCGGACCATAATTGCCCAACTAAGACCTTTTAACCGCCAACACCCAACCATGCTCTTTTAATCTATAATTCTATGCTCATTGTCAATTGATTATACTAACGCCCATTTACCGAATCACCTACCATCACTAACAATATTCACACACACCATCATTTAGAAGATTAATGTGTGTCATCAACACCAACTCTTATTATTGGCATTAACACCATGATTTATGATGAATTTATTGGTCTTTATTATCCCCTCCTTAAAAGATTAGTACTAAATATTCAAGAAATAATTTCTTAAAGATAACTTTTATGCCAAAGGACTTTTTCAACTTTCACTATGAAATTTGTCATATACAAAATGACATAATTTGAAACTAATGAAAAATACTTATAGAATCATTTTAGCTGGGCTAAACTTTATGGTTTTCCTCTTTTTGAGCTTTTTGCGTAAAAACATTGGTGCCTTTTGCAACTTCTCTCTTATGAGTTCATGTGTTGGATCTCCATATAAAATTTAGATATTAAACTTTATTTTTCTACTGTCACAAATATTTTAGCACGCAACAACTTGAAGTTATCTATGGGAAATGGTTGAGGTAAGCTTTGCTATAATGTTAAAATGTCGTTAACATTATCATATTGGGCATGCTTATAGACTTATAGTTAAGGAATCCGTCTACCATCTATTATTTTACCGGGTTAAAAGAAATATGCTAAGATTAGGAGGAAAGTTCAATTACAACTTCGAACTAATAATGCCCTACGCATGATTATAATAATAATAATAAAAAGTCATCTCTTTTATTATTTATATGAGAAGCAAATTAGGCTTGAGGGTAAACCTTGGCTACAACATAGGGATATTCATGTTAGCATCTCATACATAATTATAGTCATGCAAATCCTATCATCAATTGTTTTTACATGTATCTAAGGCAATCTTACTAATAACCATTTTTTCCTAAAACATTTAGCAAATATGAGAAAAGTTTCAAAAAAATCTCAAATTCTATACAGGATCCCTAATTGGACTTCTACTCTTTTGAAAGAGAACATTCAGTTTAAAGATGGACTAATTATCAAAGTTGTGAAAATCGGACCGGACAACGAACCGGAAGAATGAGAGGTTCATGGTTCGACCGGTCGAACCGGGGTCGAACCGGATGACGTAATAAATAATAATATAATTAAAAGTAATAAAATTAACATAATAATAATGACAATTTATTCTTAAAAATTTAATAATTCTAAGAATTTTTAGACAAAAAATAAATAAAATTCATACATATATAATATATTACATAATTATAAAATTAAATATAAATAAATATTATATTTATTTTATATATTATCATGTAAGCTAGATAATTTATATTTAATTTAGTATATAATATAATAAAATTTTTGGAATCATTTTAATTAAATAAAATATATGATATTTTAAATTAATTTAATATTTTATATAAAAAAATATTTAAATATATTATTAGTTGAACCGGTCGGTTCTTAAGAAACGGATCGGTTCAACGGTCGGCCGGTTCAAACCGGTTTTGACCGGTTCGTTGTCAGCCCGGTTCTTAGGGAAGATCGAACCGGCCATAAGACCGGTTCACGGTCGAATCGGGCGGTCCGGTCCGGTTTTCAAAACCATGCTAATTATCATCTTTGATTTGGAATACACATGACATATACCCCCTCCTAATCAAAGCACAATTGATCCCAAAGGAATATGATTCAAACTCTTCCACACATATTAACATGATCAAACAATGCTCTTATAAATAACTTTTGATATAGGTTAAACATCATTGATATATTTCTCTTGAAATATTTCACACAAATTAATATTATCAAACAATGCCATGAAAATAATATTGGATAAATCAAACATCCTTAGTGAATTTCACTCAATATCTTTCACACAAGCTAACATCATTGAGTAACACTTTAATAAACAATCTCAGATAAGTCAAACATCATTAGTGAAGTTCTCTCAAGCTTTTTCATATAAGTTAATATTTTCGAATAACACTTTGAGAAACAATCTCAAACATCCTTGATGGAATTCTTTCAACATATTTCATCACAAGTTAAGATTTAAGGTGAAGCCTATCAGGCTATCACTATCATATAGAATGTCAATCATACTTAGGCTTCATTTGGGGTGACTTTCTTCTTGTTTTCTAAAATAACTTTCTAGTAAAAAAAATTTTTGAATTTGAAATTTTTGTACTAAATTAATTTTATATAATCCTAAAGCTATTTTAAGAAGTTATTTTAAGAAGCAATAAGAAAACTATCTAAAACGAAGTCTAATATATGTAATTTAGTTTTCATACTATATATTTTTATTTTTTATTCTCTTCATAACTAATAATAGAAATCAAATCGAAAAAAAAAAAACTTTTTTCAGCTTAAATTAATTTTAATCTAGTCCTGAAATAAAACAAAAATATGACAGCAATTATTTTATATTACCAAATATTATAAAATGTTAAACTAATCACACAATTAGATTATTTAATATTTATTGTTATCATTTATATTATAAAGCATTACTCGCATGTCGCATCTGATTTATAAATAATAATAATAATAATAATACTACCTCCATTATTGCAATTTCTTCCATAGTAGGTTTAAATGATCCCATAACTAATTGTTAATGACAATAATTGCATTTCTCTATCAATAATTATTAATGACAATAATCATAATTGTTAATTACTAATTGTTTAAATAATTGTTAATGACAATAATCATAAGAACTTAACAATGAACAAAGATTCTTAATCTTATTATGGGTGACGACGAAGAAATTTTGAAAGATTTGGCCCATAGATATAATCTGTACCAGGAAAGATTCCTGACATTGATCGTTTAAGTCTTTCAGAACCTTTGCTCTGCATAATTACATTAGTTGAGCAAATCAACTCCGCCAGCATCATCCATGACGCTATGTTTGAAAAATCACTTATAAGAGATTGATTTCAGTCTTTCATAGATCTTCAGCGTTGAGAAAGGAAAGGCCAGTCTGCTCCTTCAAATTACTATGGGATCTATAGGCCGAAATCTCAACATCCTCTTCTTCCCGTACTTGGCGCAGGGGCACATGCTCCCCATGATCGATATGGCCAAGCTCTTCGCAGCCCATGGTGTCGCCGTCACTGTCCTCACCACCTCCGGGAACTCCGCCCTCATCCGCCCCACCATCGACCGCTTCAATTCTTCTGCTGGCTGTCCCATCCGCCTCCACCTCGTCCCCTTCCCTGCCGCTGCAGTTGGCCTCCCTGAGGGATGCGAGAATTTATTCTCACTTCCCTATGACGTGGATATTACCAAATTTGCGGAGGCCATTTCCTTGCTCCGGAAACCATTCAATCAAATCCTTAAAGAATTTCGCTTTGATTGTGTTGTCACCGACGTCTTCTTGCCATGGACCTATGAAGTAGCTACCGAGAATGGCATACCAAGGATTGTTTTTGAAGGCTCCAACTTCTTTGCAGCCTGTGCTAGTGATAGCATAGAGCGTCACAAGCCTCTAGAGAGCCTGCCGTCGGCGACGGAGACCTTTGTCCTCCCCGGCCTCCCACATCACATTGAGATGCTCAGGTCCCAACTCAACGACCATAGTAAAGTAATCGCTTTCATGGCCTCTGTGATCGAGGTCATGAATCACGCAAAAGAGGTAGATTCAAAGAGCTACGGGATGGTCATGAATAGCTTCTACGAGCTCGAGCCAGACTATGTCGAGCATTACAGAAAAGTTTTGGGGAAGAAGGCATGGCATGTTGGCCCTGTTGCAATCTGCAACCAAGAGAAGGTCGATAAATCAGGAAGGGGAGGAGGAAACAAAGGAGATGAATGCTTGAAGTGGCTCGATGGAAGAAAGCCAGGATCTGTCCTGTATATGTGCTTTGGAAGCATATGTAATTTCACAGTTGCGCAGTTGCAGGAGATGGCTTTGGGGCTGGAGACTTCAGGCCATCCATTTATTTGGGCGATTCGGAACCAAGGCTACGAGTGGATTCCTGAAGGGTATGAAGAGAGGATAGAAGGGAGGGGTCTTGTAATCAAAGAATGGGCGCCACAGCTATTGATACTTAACCATGAGGCCGTCGGCGGCTTCGTCACGCATTGCGGGTGGAATTCGAGCTTAGAAGGAATAACCTCTGGGTTGCCAATGGCTACATGGCCGCTCTATGCGGAGCAATTTTTCAACGAGCGGCTCTTAGTAGATGTGCTCAAAATTGGGGTGGCGGTGGGTTCGAAGGTGTTTGGGATTATGCCGGAGGATCGGCCAGTAGTAAAGGCGGCAGCTTTGGAGGCTGCAGTGAGGACTGTGATGGGGGAGGGAGAGGAGGCGGAGGAAAGAAGGCGGAGGGCGAGGGAGCTTAAAAAGATGGCTAAGAAGGCGGTGGAGGAGGGAGGCTCTTCTTATAATGATCTTGAAAATCTGATTCAGGGGTTGCTGGAGAAGAAGGCAGAAGCCGTTTAAGTTTGTTTTCTACTAGCAACTAGCAATTTTCTTCAGCTATGGCTATCATAACAGACCTGGAATTGCAATTTTCATATTCTTCAGAATAAAATTATTTGGCTTGAATCTGAACTATATGATATTTCAAGCTTCTTCCAATTCCTAAAACAGAGATTCTAAGCTTCAAAGATAGAAAAGAAAATGAACGAAGAAACAGATACCATAACTTCCCATTCAAAAACATGCAGATCCTCCTTTTTATTATAGTCTGAAGTTCATCCACTGAGAGTATTACTTAATCTTCCCTTCATACTATATCTATAAGAAAATTCATGCAGTGATTAGCAGAAGTAGATTCTTACTGTAATTGTTATTTTCTGTATCTATATTTAAAGATGTTTTAGGAGAAGGGGAAGATTTGAAAGTAATCGATGAAGCCCAATGTTGTGGGAATAGGTTCGAAGGTGTTTGAATTGAGATTAGAGGATCAGCCAGTAGTGAATGCAGCGGTGAAGAGTGTGATGGGGGATGGAGAGGACAAGCTCAAAGAGATGGCTAAGAGGGCAATAGAGAAGGTAGGTTCTTATAATGATCTTGAAATTTTGATACATGAGTTGATGGAGAGAAAGGTACGAGCTTTGCAAATTCCAAATCCCTTCTCTAGTACCCCTTGGCAACTTTATTTTATATTGTTAAAAAAAACAAAATGATCTGTTTGATTTTTTTTTCATTTAGAATGAAATAAATCTTATTTAACGTCTTATTAATTTTTTATTTAAAAATTTTAATCAACTTGATCAACTCTAATTATGTTTCTCTCCTGAATTATTAATTATTTGGTCTCTAAAGAATATTTGAGATTATAAGAGATTATATGCGAATATTTTGTTGGTATAAATTTTTTATAGTTAAATTGATTTAAGGTGTTGGTGAGAGGAATCTTAAAAAAGGCATTAAGGATTTCACAAGGTATTGGTCAATGATATTCTATATAGAAGTTATTAAATAACTTATTGGCAATTGAAATAGAGATTGTAGAATTATTCATTCCAAAAATATGTTTTATTGATTATTATAATTATGTAATATTTTGATGTGCAATGCCTTGAATTTATGATTGATTTAAATTCCTATAAATTAAGGTTTTCTTTTGGATCACCACATGTTGGATTGAAAAGATCAGTCAAAAAGTTGGGCTCATTGTGATTTCATTCGGTAGGTAACTCTTTACTGAGTAAAAAATAAACGTACATTTCCTTGTTAGGGGTCCATCCCTTATAACTTATTGTATGTTAATAATGCATGAAAGAATGTGCTAATTCTTTTACAGTATTTTAAGTTAGCATTTTGATATGATCTGATAGTTAGCATTATCATATTAATTGTTGCATAATTTCCTCAATAGTTCATATACTTTATTTTGACTGCTATGAATAACTACTGCCCATTTAAATCATGAATTATGTAATAAATATTACTAAGTGTACTGTTGTTATAACTATTGTTAAGCATCATTATTATAATACAATATGTATATAACACAAGCTTATGTATTTGATGCTTGTAAATGTCAGTATAGGAATCTATTGTTGGCTAGTTAGGACCGACGGGCCCCAAGAGTGACGACTCTATAAGAAATTACTGTATTTTCTTGGGATTGGTGTTTACCTTTCCTGCTATAAATAATGTTTATATATGGCTATATAAAGAAAATAAATGACTAAAGAGTCATTGGTGAATGTATAAATATCAAATGCTTGTAAGTGAATGTGTCTGCATTTTAATATAATGATTATTAGTTTGCACAATTAATTCTTTGTGAGTTCTGCTATATAAGAAACTTTAATTAATGAAGAATGTATAATTGAAAATCTCCTATCTTATACATAAATTTCAGCTATTGTATTTAAGTGTTTTTTTTTCACTTATGTTTCTTTCTTTGCTCATATTTATACCCCATTCCTTGCCCTTTATGTTTTACTTGGTAGGGCTTTATCTATTGAGTTTGTTCTTGCAAACTCACACCTATTACTTCATAATTTTTAGGCTGGTGGTTTGGCTTATTTTGGAGGAATTTCTAGGTTCTTGCATCAGGTTTATCTATGATAGGAAATTAAGATTAGAGCTATTTCATTTATGTTTGGTGGACAATATTTGTATATGTTTGAGTTTAGATGCTCTAATGATTTATTGATGTATATAAATTATTGAAGTCTTATAATTACATTGCTTTGAAATCATTTTATAAATTTTGTTTAGCTCGCATCCTACCATTAGGTTCTTGTTATTTTCTTTCAGGCCAGGTGGTGGGGTGTGACATAATATCAGTGAAATTAAATGATGAGTACATCCACAATTAATTCAAAACAACTCATTGTTGGCGACTTGATGCTCCCGCAACTCTACCGCCAAGTTGGATGGATATCAACAATTAATCTCCCACCTACTTTAATGTCTTTGGTGATATTAATGGAAGTTTTAGTTACGATATATATTTTTTTTAATATTTAGATAAACTCACACACACATTATATACGCAAGATTCGAACTTAAGACATCTTAGTTAGTAGTCAATTGAATTCAAGCCTAAAGAGCAGGATTAAGATCAATTAGAGGTTATTTGATCAGGTGCTTAGGATTTAAATAAACTAATCATACATGCTAATTGGGATAAACTTATGGAAGGATAAACTCATTAAAACAAAGAATTCATTTGAAACCATTATGATGAAGCCATATATTTATTTTGCTTTATCAGCTAAGAAAACAATTCTTTCACATATAAATATAAGTTATTTCATTAATTCTCATATATTTTTATAAAATTATGAAAATATATTATATAGTCAAAATTATTATTATTATTATTATTTTTAAATTCAAGTTAGAAAAAAAAAAGAAATAAACGTATTTAAATCATTAAATTTTAGTCAAAATTTGTAAATTCCTTGGAATAAATCCAAATGTTTAATCTTTAGCTAGTGGCAGTAGAAAATTACATCCACATCATGTGTACAAAAATCTTTCATTCACACTTAGGCTTCGTTTGGGGCAGCTTTATTCCTGCTTCTTAAAGTGGCTTTCTAGTACAAAAATTAAAATCTATGTACTAGAAAGTGACTTTAAGAAGCAGGAAAAAAACCGTCTCAAACGAAACCTTAGCATATAGGATGATAGACCTTCAGTGCAAACAAACAAAGAAAAGTAAATATACTTAACGTTTTCCAAGCTTGAGATCAATAATTATCTCTGGATTCTTCTTACTTAGCATGATAGGAGGATATACTTACTTTCTAAGAGGATGCTTCAGAGGACTGTCTTACATATATGTAGCTTGTTCACACTGCCAAACTTTTTTATATAACAAATCAATGCCATTATATCTCTTTACTTTTAATATTATTGATATATCATCTAAAAAAAATCATGATTGGACACGAATTTCGAGGCAAAATTGAGTGAAAACTTTTGAAGCTAAATAACGGGACTATATGAACTCTGATTTCAACAAACTTATAGTTGAACTGAATATCTCGAAAAGATGAATCCAATGACACCAAATTCGACACAATCTGATCTAAAATGTGTACAAATCGAAGACCCGAAGCACATTTAGAAGGTTAAAACCATAAATTTGATGACCAAATGATTTCCAAATGTGACATGCTTATAATCGAATCAAGCGGTTCGACGAGACGAATCTAACGAGTTTAGGATTGCTGAATTATGATATCTTTAAGACACTCAAATATTTAATAAATGATCTATAATCAAGGGCATCATATTGACCATACATTCAAAAAACTCTCAACATGTCCTTGATCTTCTCCCTATTTAATGGTAATGCCACTCCCAAAAAATTATAAAAAGATCCCTCATTTTTCATTGAGAGGGGAACTGAGTAAGGGAGAGGAGGAAGATAAAGAAGAAAGGAATGGAAGAGAAGTCAAAGTTCTCTTGCCACCAGACACCTCCTTGACCACCGCCCGGCCACCGACTGTCCACAGACTACCACCAGACTTCTAGCCGATCACCGACTGTCGACGGACTACCACCAGACTTCTAGTTGGTCACCAACTGTGGTCAGACTTTTGCCCAACCACTAGTTATAACCAGACTTCCGTCCGGCCACCAACTAACGCTTGCTTTATGCACGGCCACCGACCGTCGTCATACTTTCATCCGATTCTTGTTCGTCGCTAGATTTCAACTCGACAACTAACTATTATAATATGATCTTTCTCAATTTCAAGAACGAATCAATCATTTTTAATATATTCAAACACTAGAGGATTTATTTCAACTAAGCGTGGCCCCATGATTTTTTCCTTCAGGGTTTCCCATGTAAAAAATTCTTGTGTTTCTTTTCTCTCTTTTTATGAGTTGGATACTCGTGCAACGCTAAAATGAAAGATTTCATACTTTACCCGTGTGAATATTCTTGCCCGCAATAATTATAATAATTAGTTTTGAACTATGGTAAAATCCAACGAGCTTCTTCTTGATGATATGTATAATACACATAATCGAGCTTGTCAATGGTATTTTAATCTAACATCTAAAGCATGTGTGTTATGATTCTGTGGGCTCCGAAAATTCGTCCCCGGCCTCCGCTCGCTTTTCTTATTCGGCGAGGGAGTTTTAACGAACTAAGTTCCGAGGTAAATTTTGGAAGGCAGATGGGTTTGTAGATAAGACACTACCCAGAGATTTCGCCCTCATTTTGCGAGGACTTTATGATCTGAGTTCTGGTTTCCTATAGGCGCAAGCCCCTATAGTTAATTACCCCTCCCGATCACGAGAGAGAACTTTCGATTAAGGCTAGTCGTCAATCAGATACGTAAAGATACGTGATATCTGGCATATAGTAGCAGCATAGGATTTGGGAATTTTGGAAAAGTTTGGAAAGTTAAATATTTAAAATAGAAATTTCACCATCGTGTGCTTAAAGCGGATGGTGGGGGAATGGATGATGGACCCGATCAAGATCCCATGGTTCCGTCGTCCCGGGCCATCGTGGTCCCTGGTCTACTTAGTCAGAGGAGGTAGTCGACCCAACCTGACAGAAGGATCCTTGTCGGCAGCCATGGGTTGCTTCGTCCAAGGAAACCTTGTAGACCGGGGTTGGTGTTTGCTTAAGGGGACAAATTTAAATCCACCTTAGCTAACAGAGGGCTTTGTACCCCGTCAATTATATCCTATTGATTCATATCTCAAAGATTTAA